TTTTATTTTCTCTGTTAAGATCCACGACAGGGAAGAAAAATGGTAGTTGATAGGCTCCCTTAAAACCCTTTTGGAAAGCATACAAAAATACAGTTGTATTTCATTTACTGATATTTCTACCTAAAAACCTTGCTCACATTCTCATTAATGCTAATAACATTGCTAATAATTGTCTGATGATTCTCAGATCTCCTGAAAAGATAATCCTATCATCTATGAGTAATACGAATGTTTTGTCTCCTTTCAGATCTTTACGGTTAATTTTTTTCTTGTCTTATTGTGCTGGCTGAAATAAAAGTGGCGATAGCAGGTATCCTTGGTTCATGATTTTAAAGAGAATGCTTATTAACTTTTCACATTGAGTCTAACATTTGTTAAAGGTTTTGTTTATCAGTAGCCTTCATGAAGTTAAAGAAGTTTCCCGTATTTCCAATTGATGAGATATTTCTAATAAGGAAAGATGTTGAATTTTTATAGAATGCTATTCTGGTGTTTGTTGAGATGATTATGTGATTTTTCCTCCATTAACCTGCTAATACGGCAAATTATGTGATTTTCTATTGTTGAATCAATCCTGTGATCTGAGAATAAACCTAACTTAGTCATGAACCTTTATATACACTGCTGGATTCTGGATTTAGTATGCTAGTTGTTTAGGATTTTTGAATCTTTGTTCATGAGTGAAACTGGCCTATTTTACTTTTTCAGACTGTCTGGTTTTGATATAAGCTATGACGTATTCCCTCCGTTTTTATTTTCTCAGAGCGTTTGTGTAATATTGCAATTATCCGTTCCTTGAATGTTGAGTAGAGAATACCAGTGAGGCCATCTGGGCCTCAAGTGGTCTTTGTGGGGGGAGATTTTGGTCTACTGACTGAAGTTCTTTAATAGGGATAGGACTATTCAGGTTTTCTATCACTTTTTAGTCAGTTTTAGCAAATTCTAGTTTTTCTAAGAAATTTGTCCACCTCCCCAGAGTTTCCAAATGACTTGGAGTAACATTCATAAAACCATCTTCTGATCTCTGCTGTGTTTATAATTCTGTTCTTTTTCCATTCTTCATGTCAGTTATCAGTGCTTTCTCCTTTTTTTCTTAATAGATGTAACGGTTTAATAGTCTCTTCAAAGAACCAACTTTTGGCTCTCTGTATTCTATCTTTGTTTTCTCTTTTATTAATTTATGCTCTTGTATTGTTGCCTGTCTTCTACTTTTTATTTATTTTATTTTTAATGTTTATCTATTTTGAGAGAGTGTGTGTGCACGAGTGGGGGAGGGTCAGAGAGAGAGAGAGAGAGAGAGAGAGAGAGAGAATCCCAAGCAGGCTCCACACAAACTGTGAGATCGTGACTGAGCCAAAATCAAGAGCCAGACTCAACTGGCTGGGCCACCCAGGCATCCCTGTCTTCTAGTTTTTAAAGGGTTTTGTTGTGCATGTCATTTCTTTTCCAGCATCTTGCCCTGACCCTTAATTTTCAACCCGTCTTCTCTTTTTAATATAAATATACAAGGTCATAAGATTCCCTCTAAGTACCATTGTAGATGCAACTCACATATTTTGATAAATTATATTTTCGTTAGCATTGGGTTCCAAATATCTTCTAATTTTCATTGTGATTTCTCCTTAGAGTCTTGAATTATTTAGAAAACAGATTTTTTTTTATGTTTATTTTCAAGAGAGAGAGAGAGAGAGAGAGAGAGAGAGAGAGAGACAGAGTGTGAGTGGAGGAGGGGTAGAGAGAGAGAGGGAGACACAGAATCCGAAGCAGGCTCCAGGCTCTGAGCTGTCAGTCAGCACAGAGCCCAACGTGGAGCCCAAACCCACAAACTGTGAGATCATGATCTGAGCCAAAGTCAATCGCTTAACCTACTGAGCCCCCCAGGCGCCCCAGATATTTTTAAATTTTAGTAGGTATGAGGAGTTTGGGGGTATATGTTATTGATTTCTAACTTAATGTTATAGTTACAAAATCAGTGTTTAAAAGATTAGTATTTTAAAAATTGACTAAAGTTTGCTTTATGGTCTAGAAAGTGTTCATTTCTCCTTCTTGCTCGGGGTGGCTCAAAAAACTTGAGTTTTCCTTGTCTTTAGATTCTACTATGTCCATTTGATCAGGTTTGTTAATAGTGTATTCGAATCCTATGACCTTGAATCAGCTAGATTTATCAGTTATAGAAACAGGTATGTTGAAATACTCCACTGAGAAGTTGGGAGTTATTTCTTCTGGAGTTTTGCTGTATTATTTTAAAGCTAAGTTATTAGATTAAAAATGTAGAATTAGTTTTTCTTTCTGGCCAATATAACTTTGCACAGTGGTCCTTTTTTTATTTCTGTGAATATTTCTCTTTTTAAATTCTATTTTGATGGGGCACCTGGGTGGCTCAGTTGGTTAAGCTTCCAACTTCGGCTCAGGTCATGATGTCACAGTTTGTGAGTTCGAGCCCCATGTCGGGCTCTGTGCTGACAGCTCAGAGTCTGGAGCCTGCTTCAGTTCTGCATCTCCCTCTCTCTCTCTGGCCCTCCCCTGCTTGTGCTCTGTCTCTGTGTCTCTCTCTCAAAAATAAATAAACATTTAAAAAAAAAATCTATTTTGGGACGTCTGGGTGGCTCAGTCGGTTAAGCCTCTGACTTTGGTGCAGGTCATGATCTTGTGGTTTGTGAGTTCAAGCCCCACGTTGGGCTCTGTGCTGACAGCTCAGAGCCTGGAGCCTGCTTTGGATTCTGTGTCTCCTTCTCTCTCTGCCCTCCCCTTCTTGTTCTGTCTGTCTGTCTGTCTGTCTCTCTCTCTCTCTCTCTTAAAAATAAACATTGAAAAAAATTTATTTTATTTCATCAGATATGGGATAACTGCATCTTTTTAAAAATTTTCTTTATTCTGGCTTTGATTCTTTTACACTGCTTTTGCAGCCTTCTGTTGTAGGCGTGTCTTTTGCAAACCACATACAGTTAGGTTTCTTGTTCATTTTTAGTCCGATCATCTTTACCTTTTAAATGTCCAGCATGGTGGGCACTAGCCACATGTGGCTGTTGGTGACTTAAAAAGTACTATAAAGATGAGATACATAAATGCTGAACATTTTGGATATATTGGGTTAAGTAAAATATATTGTTAAAATTAATTCCACCTGTTTTTATTTTACTATTTTCTTTTAACATTTGTTTATTTTATTTTTGAGAGAGAGAGAGAGCATGAACTGGGGAGGCGCAGAGAGGAAAAGAGAGGTAGAATCCCAGGCAGGCTCCACACCACCAGCACAGAGCCTGACGCGGGGCTTGAACCCAGAAACCGTGAGATCATGACCTGAGCTGAAGTCAGACACCCAACTGACTAAGCCACCCAGGCACCCCTCCTATAATCAGTTTTGATACTCTCATCAGATGCTCCCCTTTTTATTTTTCTGAATATATTAAGGTCCATATTCTGTATATGGTAATTCCAGTATCCTAACATCTCTGCAGGGCAGATCCTGCAGTGTGTGGTCTGCTGACCCACTGAGGCAGCTGCTTTTCTGGTTGAGGTGGCGATTTGTAGTTGTGAGCTCAGTAATGTCTGAGAACTGTGTTTATTTTTTTTTGTCATGTTTAATTTTATTTATTTATTTTGAGAGAGACGGAGAGTGAGCTCACACGTGTGGGCACAAGCCAGGGAGGAGCAGAGAGAGAGGGAGAGAGAGAGAATCCCAAGCAGCCTCCGCGCTGTCAGCACAGAGCCCGACAGGGGGCTCGATCTCAGGAACCGTGAGATCATGACCTGAGCTGAAAGCAAGAGTCAGACGCTTAACCGACTAGCCACCCAGGCATCCCCTGAAAGATTTAAGATGTTTAAGATGCTGTCATCCTGAGACTCTCTGTCCACCTCTGCTGGTCCTTGGGGCCACCAAGACCTTGGCCTGGAGGTTTCCGGGCCACTCCATGGTGTGACCTGGCACCAGTGACCCTCGGGCACAGGCTGTGCTGTGTCAACTCCCACGCTGATACTTAAGACACCATATCCTTCAGCTTCTTTTTTCCGTAGTTCTTGGGAGTGAGTTCGGCCACGATTCTCGTGTTGTTTGGCCGCTCTCCTGGTTTGTAAGTTTATTTTCATAGGACCTCCTGTGGCCTGAGTTTATTTTCATAGGACCTCCTGTGGCCTGAGTTATGGGGGGGTGTCCCCATGGGCAGGTTTGCATTGCCTGGGCGGGGGGGGGGGGGGGGGGGGGGGCGCCTGGGCGCCGTGGTGGTCAGCCAGCGTTTCTGTGAATTTCTCAGCTTAGGGTCTCTGCACCACGTAGGTAGTATGAATTCGGTGTGGACATGGGGAAATTCCCGTTTCTTAGGGTGGCTGTCCCACCCGTGGCTCTAGACAGGTGGCGGCTTCCTTGTAGCGCCCTCAGGTGGATGGAGTTATTTCCAGCTCCCAGCTCACCGAAGGGACAGAGCCTCCTGGCTCCTGGCTTCACGCAGGCAGCTCAGCACTGTCTCGCCACACCTGGACATCAAAGCCCAGCCTCCAAGGCCTGTGTCCTGTTCCAGCAACTCCCTGGGTCACCTGGCCTCTGTTCCAACTCTTGATTTGACTTTGCATTTGCTCTTTGATTCTTATATCTGGAATCTTTGTTTTATGCTCACTCATATACATGTGCGGGGGGGGGGGGCGGAGGGGTAAGGTTTGGGGGGATACTCGGGCTTACATTTTATGTAACGTTTCTGTGTTAAGAGTGAGGGCAGGACCTCCCCAGAGCAGCGCGGCCTTCCCCAGGGACCAAAGATCCAGCCCTAAGAACTCACGGTCACAGTCCTCACTCCTTGCCACCCTCCCCTATGCTCACTACTGTGTGACCTCATGCTTTGCCCAGAAGGCCCCGCTGCCCCTGCTTGCTCTGGCCTTCCGTTCCCACCAGGCTCTTTTGCCATCTGAGCCTTGTAAGCGCCCTTGTCCGTTTCCTTGGCTGGATGTGTGTCCCCCACCGGGGCCGAGGGGCCCTGATGCTGTGTGTTCATGCACTTTCCCTTTCTCAGGCTCGGGGCCCCCGGTTCCTGCCCCTGACCTCTTAATGCAGATCAAGCAGGAGGGCGAGCTCCAGCTCCAGGAGCAGCAGGCTCTGGGGGTAGAGGCCTGGGCAGCCGGACAGCCGGATATCGGGGAGGAGCCGTGGGGCCTCAGCCAGCTGGACTCCGGAGCAGGAGACGTCTCTACAGATGCCGCCTCTGGTGAGTGGCCGCAGCTAAAGCAGACACAGGGACAAGTGTGGGGGCTGACGGCAGGGTGTGGGAAAGGACCTGGAAGCACCGTGGAGCTGTGGCCTCCCAGATCTTGAACATCCGGTCTGACCTACTGGGGAGTTTTCCCCCCTGAAGGGAGGGGGCTGTGCCTAATGATACCTTGTGCCCCCCCCCCCCCCCCCCCGCCCCGGGTTTGGTGGTGCTCACGTCTCAGAGCCTCTCTGCCTGACCTCGGTCCACTGCACTCCTGTTTGCCTTGCCCTCGCCCCAGGGCAAATTGCCAGCTGCCTCGCATTACAGAGGCCTGCATGAAATAAGCAGTGACATCGAGCTTCCTGGTGCCTCAGAGAAGGGGACCACAGAAAACCGGGTGCGGGAGAGGAGAGGTGGTTACGCTCCCGCAGAAAAGGCCCAGGTGGGATCTTAGAGTCTCACCTGCCCTTCCTTCCCCTAACCCCCGGACTCTGATCTGTCCTCACTGCAGGCGTCCACTCCAACTTTTCCACCACGATCCCACCCACTTCCTGGCAGGCGGACCTCCCTCCCCATCACCCTTCTTCAGCATGCTCGGACGGGACACTGAAGCTCAACACAGCAGCCTCCACGGAAGGTATGGTGCGGCCGAGAGGGGGCGGGAAAGGCTCGCGTCTGCCTGCAAGGCTGCCTCGGCCCAGGGCTCTCGTTTTTACTGCCGAACTGCCCTGACCTCTCAGCCAACAGGCCTTTAGGTGTCACATGTGGCGTTAGGACTCTATAGTCTGTCCTTGATCTCCTTCCAAACCCTTAAGCTCGAACAGCCTTTCTTGAGAGCGTATGTGTTTCCGACTGTCCCTTTCACATATGGTCCTAACCAGTCAACCCAGCTAAAGCTGATCCCTTGAGAGGACGTATCACCTGCCTAGGCTCAGCCGTCCTGGCTCTCTGCTGGCGTGGGAAAAACCAAACCAGACCAGAGCCGCTTGTGACCCATCAACACTACCAAAGACAGGCGTCCGAAGGCCAGGATCAGGAAGAACAACTACCAAACTTATGGATTAGTTTTCCACTTACGTCTGTTTTGAAGGCCAGTTATCTGTTACTTTCCTCATTCCTGTCATATTTGTGCTAAAAGCCCAGGTCCCTGATATAAAACTTCAGGATGTGAGAGTCAAGTACATTTATATAAAATCAAACACAGTTTTACTGATCGGCTAATATTTTTCTCACTAGCCGGCGGGCCACACAGAATGCTTGCTGCATTCCAAACGTGCCCACCAGTGGTCAGCCTTAGGATGAACTCAGGAGTAGCCTTAATAACCAAAGCGAAAATGGACCCGGGTGAGCAAGTGCGATGGTTGCTTTACCTGTGAAGGTCCTCGCCCAGGGTTTGGCCGCATGACTGCCAGTGGGGGGGCTCTGCCCAACGGGATCCTGAGGCTTGGGAGAGTAGGGCTCACGGTCATGGTGGAGCGGAGTAGCTGCTGAACAGCCAGACGGAAGGATCGGCTCCTCCCTTAAGCAGGTACGGGACGCGACAATACCGGGTCCTTCTGCCTTTCTCAGCAGATGTCAAAATTGTGATAAAAACAGAAGTCCAGGAAGAGGAGGTGGTGGCCACGCCAGTGCATCCTACCGACCTGGAGGCTCACGGGACCCTGTTTGGACCAGGCCAAGCCACAAGGTTTTTCCCTAGTCCCGTCCAGGAAGGAGCCTGGGAAAACCAGGGCGGCTCCTTCCCCAGCCAGGACCCTGTGCTGGGGCTGAGGGAGCCCGCCCGGCCAGAGCGGGACATGGGCGAGCTCAGCCCCGCGGTGGCCCAGGAGGAGACCCCGCCGGGGGACTGGCTCTTTGGGGGGGTCCGGTGGGGCTGGAATTTCCGGTGTAAGCCCCCCGTGGGCCTGAACCCGAGGACTGGACCCGAGGGGGTGCCCTACACCTCCCCCGACAGCGGGGAGGCCGTGCTGGACTCCAGCCAGGCCCCGAGACCCTTCGGCGACCCCTGTAAATACCCCGGCCGGACCAAGGGCTTCGGCCACAAGCCGGGCCTGAAGAAGCACCCCGCCGCCCCGCCGGGAGGGCGGCCCTTCACCTGCGCCACGTGCGGGAAGAGCTTCCAGCTACAGGTGAGCCTGAGCGCGCACCAGCGCAGCTGCGGGCCGCCCGAGGGGGCGCCGGGGGCGGCGGGCGGCGGCGCGCGGGACGGCAGCGCGCTGCGGTGCG